TACTGGAAAGTAATGTAACACGAACATTAATTTGGACTGGGAAGTAAAGACTTTGAAACTTCACGAACCCGGATCCAATGTTATGGTATCGTATTTGTCTGAACTCAATATTTCTGGCGCGGAGCATAAATAATAAAACTATCAACGGAAGGAGGGGAGGATCCACACCTGCAAATCAGGGGCGGATTCAATGTTACGGTACGGTACTCTCAATGCGGCAATAATCATATAATTGCAAGAAATAGTAGATATGACCCTATAATTTTTAAAATATATATTAAAAATATTAAAGGCTGAACTCATGGGGTTTAAGTCTTATATGTAAATAAGTGAAATTTTGATAATATACTGACAGTAGTTTGAGCAAAATTGCGTGGTCGTAAAAGATATGAAATTACCTCTTAGCTTAACAAATTTTGAGTATCCAATTTCATATAACTTGTATAGCTCTAGTTTATTACTCCATATGTTGGGGAAAACTCCATTCGAATTCATTTATTTTTCACCGACAAACCTATGCATAAAAATTAAAAATAATTTGCGCATGATTCTTAGTGGTCTAAATGTAACTTGTCTTTAAAATGAATTATTTTTCTTGATAACATTAACTGGAAATTGTACATTTGGAACTGGCATTTTATTATATCCTATATCCTACTTTTTAAATGTACGTCATAGGATTAAGATACACTGACTGGTTGGATTTTCTTGATTGGTAGGGGTCTTCTAACTCAAAAAACTACTTCTTCCGTCCAAGTTTACTACTATTGACTTCTCACACCTATAATAAATAATATGATAATTTTTCTATATCACTCCTATTTATTATATATTGAAAATAAAAAATACTTAATAAGAAGGGTAAAATAGGTATAAAATAATAAATTATCCATTGATTTTTTAAACTGGACAAGTAAAAATAGAAATCTATTTTTAATATAGTGGATAAATAAATTTGGACGGAAGGAGTAAGTTGTAATTAAATTGAGTCACAAGTCAGCTGAGAGACACACACTCATATTACTAGCTAATTAAATAAAGATAAGGAGATTAAGGCCTCATTTTTTTTTAAAAAAGATTAAGACGTCTTAATCTTAATACACATCTTGATATGTATTAAGATCTGAATATTAAATAATTAAGACCGTTTGATTTTTAACATCTGAATGTATGTAATTTATCTTTATTTGAAAATTAATAAAGATAAAATTCAATTAAAATACTAATCAATCTAATATTCTATGGTAGTTGTTGATGGTGATGGCTAACGGTGGTGCTTGTGAATCCCGACTAGAGGCGGCGATTGGTGGTAATTTTGGTTGATGGTGGTGGCTCAGGGTAGTAGCTAGTGGTAATTGGTAGTGGTGGCTATTATGATTGAGGATGGTGGTGATAGTTAGTAATGGCAGGTGGTGGTGGTAGATGTGATTGAGGAAGGTGGTGGTGGATGGTGGTAGTTTATAATGAATAGGCAGTGCCGGCTGATGGTGATGGGATGGTTAGTTGTGGTGGTTGAGGTGAATGAGTGTTGGTTGTGGTTGAAAATGATAGTTGTGGGAGTGGTGGGTGATGGTAGTCGATAATGGTGGCTATGATTGAAGATGATGGTGGTGGTGGTGGTGGTGGGTGGCATGGTGGTAGTTGATAATGGTTGGCGGTGGCGGCAGTTAATAATGAATGTGGATGATAACAGCTTAATGAAATTAAGTATCTGTTATATATATAGACATATTCAGACTCATTAAGTGGTTGTGGAGTAAATAAAAGCAAACACACTTAATGATTAAGATCTGAATAATTAAGATTCTGATTATAAACGCACTTAATGTCTGAGATCTGATTAATTAAAATTCAGATCTCCGTTGAATGCAAACAAATAAGGCCTAACAATTGTTTAGCCACAACGCCACAAAAAGTAGGAGGGAATAAATGGGGATCGGGGGGAGCTAAGTGTACAAAATGCTAAAGTCAAAAAATGACTGACAAGAGTTTGAAGTAAAATTATTCAGAAGTCAACTGGCAGTGAAATTAAATGATTATAGTTCAGAAGTCAACTGGTACCAAGTATTCAGAGGTTTTACAATGAGAAATTCAAATGCCCACTGCCAGAAAACTCAGTAGTATTAATTAGTTACATTTGGCAGGGCCTAGGCATGTTTTGACTTATTCAAATGGATCATTAAATCCCAAAAGAGAAAAGAACTACGAAATACAAACAAATTTGCTTAAGAAAAGTGTTAGAAAAAGCATGGACACTTTGTTTTTTCCGAGAAGTAGGGGTGTGCATAGGTCGGGTTGGTTCGAATTTTTCAATTATCAAACCAAATTAATGGTGTCGGGTTTTTAAATTTATAAACCAAACCAAACCAACAATGTCGGATTTTTCAATCTCGTTTTTCTCGGATTTTCGGGGTTTTTTCGGTAAAGTGTTCAGAGCATAAAATATATAACTTGTGCTCCAAATATTTCTTAAGTCCTAGTAAAATACAACTATATAATGTGTTTTTCAAGAAACTAACACAACAATATGAGATAAATCATAGCATTATACTAAAATATTCAATAACAAAGATAAAATAATAAAATTACATAAAAATAAATATTGCTAATTAATAAGCCATAATGAAAATTAACATAATCTAAAAATACTATATAGGTCATGCTAAAATTAGTATAGCTAATAGGTATTAATATTAATTACATAACTAAGCACTAAAGAAAAAGATAAACTAAGTTATGCATTTTCAATATAAACCAATGTAAAACTAAAATAATTATCCAACACTGTCGTCATTCCTAGTATTGAATTTAATTTCTTTTGTTAGCATTAATATTGATTTGAACTTTGTTTGAGTTACTACATTTACGGGCTATAAAATTTATTTATCATTCAAGAATGTTAAGTTTAAACTTGAAATAATACGTTAAAAGATAAAACTATGAAAAAGTTTAAGAAATATTTATAAATTACATTACAATAAATACTTATATGTATAAAATATTTTTAAAAATTATATAAATGTACTATCGGGTTGGTTTGGTTTCGCTTTGACTTTTTTTAGTTAAAACCAAACCAAATCAATTATGGTCGGGTTTTATTTTCCAATACCAAACCACATCCGATTTTTTTTTTTCCGGTTTGACTCAGATTATCGGTTTGATGCGATTTATCGATTTTCTTTGTACACCCCTACATAGAAGTCTCTTGTGGTTTCTGGCCCGACTCCAATTGATGTGCACGTTTGGAACTCGAACGTGCTCCATTATCCTTCTTTCTACTTTAAAAATACTCTGCTTACTGTTGTTAGGATCGATATAATTAGATATCATAGGGAAGCTAATAAAATATACATTTATATATGATCCATTATATAAAAGAGAGTTCAAAATATCGAAAAAACAACCTCATAAAAATACAAACACAAACACAACAGATAACACTTGTCTTAAAGCTTTTTCCTCCAATAAAATAAAAAGACTAACTAAATATGAGAAACTTAAAATTTCCATTTAGGAACAAGAAAACCCCAATTATAGTAAAGATATTGTCCTTCCTTCAAAACATAAAAAATAAAAAAATCAGGCAAATACCTAATAGGTTTTGTTTGCAATAGGTGCGCCCCCATCGTGCATTGTATCTTTACTCTTAAATCCAAACACTGAGATGGAAATCGTTCTACACCTAAATCTACTCCAAATGATCTCATATTTAAAACATAACCTCCAAATATCATAAAGAACAAATCCTAAATCATCAATTTGTCAAAATAACAATAAATCTAACAAATCGTTACAATTAATAATAAGAAGAAGAAAAAACCTTAAACAATAGCAAGGGAATGAGCGTCACAACAGCTCAGAATAAATCATCTTAAAACATGCTCACAAACATAATGAAAATTCACGGTCACCTTTATTTTCATAGCGACTAAAAAGGAGGAGGTCTAGGAGTAGGAAGAGAAAAAAGCCCGAAGTTGTTAATTTTTTTTTTAAAAAGTGGATACAAGTTAAATGAGGACGACCAAATAGGATGCCCGTTAAATTTTGGCTACATTTTCTTTACAAGTAGAAGAAAGCGAGGACTTCTAGCCCACATTAGACTAACATATCCAGCAGACACAATAAACTCAAACAAGATAGTTGTATAAAGTAGACTGTCTTAAAGCACCAAAATTGGTCCAACTTAAATAATGATAATCCAACTTCCACCTATACGACAAACTATATATAAGAACCTCATGTGCCGCGAATCTAGATTAACTAAAGGCTCCAATAAGAATACCGGACATCGAGCAAAAAAGAAAAAACTATTTAAGAGATTGTTCCATTGGGACGGTTGCAATGAATTGCTTCCATTTTCTAAAATACAGAACACACAGAAAGCAATCCAATAGTATCACTCACTGATAAATTACCCAATACTCCTCATTCGTCAAGAACAATGAAAACTTAAGGAAATGGAGAATGACGAATCTCAACTATTGCAACGATTTAGCAGTAGTTTTCCTCCAGGTTGTGTCCCTCCCTAAGATAGTTTACCTTTTTATCGTCTATTACAATTTAGCTGAGTGGATTAAGTTGCCAATAAAACGAACCCGATTGCATAATCCTGTCAGCTAATTAACGAACTTGTCTCAATTATGAGAAATTTGTCATACATTGATTAGATTTGAATTCTAAGGTTCTCTATATGCAGTATGCACAAACATTTAGCTTATTGGAAGAGTTTAACAAAGCTCAGTTCTCATGGTTGTAAAGAGTCTAGAACTTCGTAGAACATAACAAATCTATATAAAATGCTATTTGAGTGAGGTTCTATTTCATGTTTGAGAAGTCAACATGGACCATACAAGGAAAAGACTACGAGAGAAAATATATTTTCATCGAATCTGATTTAAAATCGACGTACCATACATCGCAAGATTCTCACCAACAGATTCAACAAATGTTGATTGGATGTGTTTCACTGGGTAGAAATAACACTTTAGTAACCAACATAATTTACCACGAAATTTAGATAAGATATCTTGTAAGATGGATTAAACGTTCTGCAGTTTAACAAAGATTTTGGAAAATTACTTGTATTTCAGCATTTAGCTGTCAAATCCAAATAGGCCATTTGGTATAGAAACATAAAGATAATGTTTCTTGCTGAATCTTGGCCAAACATAACCACCAACTAAAATCACTCACTCAGAATCATTTAAACTTGCTATACTGAGAGAGAGATGGTAGACTAACAAAAACCTATGTTCCTCAGACAAATTCTCAAAGTTCAAAAGAACTCTACCAGTAATGTAGGAGTTATAAACAGGACGAAAGAAGCTCAACTCATCGACATTAGCTTTGGACCATTATCTGGCATGCCAATTCCAGCAGCTAAATCAGCATCAAGTTGGGTGTGTGGTGCAGGGCCCATCATTATTTTCACACTGCATCAACAAAACTAATCAGGTAAAAATATACAAATTTTTTTTTCCAGACTACCAATCATTTTTTTTCTGATAACCCACAGACTACCAATCATAATCACTAAAAACATGGGTTCACACTTCATTAGTCATATTTGTATGGTTAAGCTGTTCAAGTTGAGCATATATATAAGCTCCAAACTGGATGCTCCTAGCAGAAAATAGAAAATTCTAATTTCTTTACAACCTCCTCAAAAGAATTGCGCTCAAAGTAGCATCTCAGTTTATAACATATAATGTAAGTGTCGCATTTACCATTTATTACACGTATATTTGTGTCATGTTTATGACTTTGAGATGTTTATGTGAAACAACTTCCCCTACATTACCACGTCACATGTGCTAAATTATCGAAGATATCCGATCCCTACTTGGCCAACCCAAAGGAAATAGAGAAGTTGAAAGAAGTAGAAAACAAGATTGTCCAAATGGACCCTAAAATGAAATAACAGATGCAGTTGCAAAGACAAACTGCAGCTCAGTAAGTTAAGTTAAAATATTTAAGAAGGTATTCTAGATTCTGCACGTATCTACCACCAGTATCTCTTTTCACCATCCACTGGCCAAAAGTTAATCTACTTCGTCACCCTATACCGCAAGCGTGTAAGATTGCACACACTCTACAATGGATATCCTCTATTATCATTGGTAGCCTCCATGCAGCAAACCAACCGACAAGAATAAAAAGGTCTCTTACAAAGAATACAAAGCAAATACTGCTCCGATTTAGTACAAAAGATTCTACTATTTGCATTAGTTACATACAGAGACTTCCCCAGACAAACCAGCTGCTACAATTTTTTGGCAAAAGATATTATGGTTTAACAGCAACTTATCAGGTATGCAATATTGCGTCAATACTAGCAGATGACATAGTCTTCACTATAACCCCAAAGCACGGCTCCTATGGTCCTAGGCTCCCAAAACATCATTGTCCTTACAATTTAACCCACAGAGTCTATGTCAGTCCAGAAGATCTAACTGTGCCAAATGCTGGGATCATGATGGTCCGGATCATATGCTTTAAGCTTGTTTAGTTGTTCGACCATGAATTCAGGCACCATTTCTGTCATAAGCAGCTGACCCACATAGATCACTTCAAAGAGGGTTCTTAAGATGCAATTTCATTAAATATATTGTTCAACTGAGAAAAGTAGCTCCTGCAAGTGTATTAATTTCTATTCATTAGAGCATCCACAGTTGGCTTTCTCAGTTCTTTACACACTGTAATGTTCTTTTTTTGGATGTACACCTCTCCAGCACTTTTACATAAAGAACATTTCTCACATTACCTATCAAGAAAAGGAAAGGGAAAAAAAAAAGGGCTCTTGGAAATGCTAGGCAGCAAGATGCTACCCCTTTTTGACAATACTAAGGTTTAACGGCAAATTATCAAGGCATGTAGTATTGTGCAATACAAGCAGATGGAATAAAAAATACACTCGGATGCATTGACCCACTGTTACTAAACTGAACCTGATTTCTTTCTGCCTCAAAAATCAAATTTTTTAATCCACAATTCCAATCTTAAGACGCACAAATCAACCCCAAGATTGTACATTGCCAAAAATAATTAACCTAAGAACACAGCATCATTTCGGCCACTTAAAAGTCGCAAGTTATCCTCCATTTATTAGAACAAGAAACCATGGCAGAAACTGTGTGCAGGTCATGCAAAATAAGCTTTCAGGAAGCGTTTGATTCAAAATAGGTGAAAAGAAAATTCCGGAATTTTTTTCCAACCAGCATCGAGTTTAAAAGCATTGCGGAAACCAAATGAAAATTACTGGTTGTAACAATGGGACAGGTTTTGTGGCTTTGTTTATTAGTATTTATCTGTATAAGAAATAGAAAGAAAAGATATTGCATAAACAGTCTACACATAGCAGTTACCACCCTTCAACAATTTGTGACTCAATGTTAAATTTTAACTTTGGTAAGTTTGTCAGATTTCCTACCAAGGAATGCTATAATAACAGAGGAAAAAAGCCATTATACATTCCCATGCTTAAAGAGGCTCCATTGTTTCTAAAAGACTTGACTAGATTTTATCAAGCAGGTGAACTTCCTATTATGACGTTTGGGGTATTTATCTTCATACTTAATTTTTTCTTTTTTTGATGAAAGATTGTCTTATACTGAAGATATATCAGTAAGCATACACCTTTTCAGCTACTAATTTCCTCCACACCTCAATAATCATTCCATCAGCTACCATTTCGGGAACTAGGATCGCTACCATGAAACTACAGGAATATTACAGGTCTATGGTCCTATCAAGATCGACTCATTACGAGTCCAAACTGGCCCTAACACGCCTCCCATGTCTTCGACGGGACACGGGCACTAACAGGACTTCCGGCAAAGCCTGAGCCTTTCTGCCTGAACCATTCTAACCCTACCTTAGTATCATTGGGTGATTTAATTCCTTCTAGCGATAGCAAATCATGTTAGTAGTAACCTAGTGAGCTATGTTCAACACAACAGTATTTAGCCTATCATTTAGGCTAAATCAATCTTATTACTCCCTCCGTTTCAATTTATGTGAACCTATTTCTTTTTTAATCAGTACCAAAAAGAATGACCACTTTTCTTTTTTGGAAACAATTTACCTTTATGCAATGATTTATAGCCACACAAAATATATGTGCCTCATTTTACACCACAAGTTCAAAAATCTTCTATCTTTTCTTAAACTCCGTACCCAATAAAATGGGTTCACATAAATTGAAACGGAGGGAGTATTATAAATATAATACAAAATTAAAATACCTGGATACACCAAGGTTGTGGCCAAAAATCTTCTATCTTTTCTTAAACTCCGTGCCCAATCAAATGGGTTCACATAAATTGAAACGGAGGGAGTATTATAAATATAATACAAAATTAAAATACCTGGATATACCAAGGTTGTGGCCAAAAATCTTCTATCTTTTCTTAAACTCCGTGCCCAATCAAATGGGTTCACATAAATTGAAACGGAGGGAGTATTATAAATATAATACAAAATTAAAATACCTGGATATACCAAGGTTGTGGCCAATAGTCGACCTTTTCTGATATTATATATAAAAACTTTACAAAGATAACTTGTTTACAGGTTGCCTACTCTAAATCAGATCGGATCCTTATATAATGGATCACCTCTGAATACAATGGTTAGTGCCCGATAGTTTTTGATAAAGTGGGCCTATACTACTTTAATAATTACAACTTAGATAATTTGCCTGTCATGATAAGGTGAGCCTCTCTTTCTTTATTAAAGAATCTATCTTTATAAAAGTTGTTTGTTCGTATTACTAGAATATGGGACCTTCTTTCTTATTATTTGCCTTTGTCATTTTTGGCCTTGCTGGAAGATTCTTCCACAATTGTCTTGAAGTGTTGCAGATATGCTTCAATATCTATTTCTTCAGTGTCACTGACACTTTGGGATTCCCCTGCTATGCACGTTTATTTTACTGTGGTATTACCTGCTGATGCCATAGAAATATCATCTGGTATTTCTCTGTCTAGATTTTTCATTAAATCTTTCTTGACCTCTTCCACATACGAAGCCAATATATTTGATCTGGAGGAATCTCCTTTCTTCATCTGAAGTTTCCTTGCTATTTGCTGAAATGGACTGGTATCACTTGTTCCATATACAGTCTGACTTTTTTATTTATCCATAGTACTTTTAATTGTCTCTATGATTTTCTGGCCATGAGTATTTCCTTTGTCTTTCTGGAGCAATTTGTTCCAGAACTTTGTATAAAAAATTCTTTTAAGGCATGGAAATCCATTTGTATCAACTTGAACTTACACAGACAATCTCATTATCCAAGGAATTGAGAATTTTATAAAAAAGTACATAACTGTCATTCCTTGAAAGAAGATATTATTCTTTTGTAACTCAATAATTTTGGGAGATACCTCTACCCATTCAGTATATAAACTTTTATATAATTCAGGTAAAATATTCAGTGAAGGACCATATAAAGTCCACCATTCTTTGCTATTTGCTTAAATGGACTAGTATCACTTGTTCCTCCTGCTGATACAGTCTGACTTTTGTATTTATATATAGTACTTCTAATTGTGTCTATGATTTTCTGGCCATGAGTATGTCCTTCTGGAACAATTTGTTCCAAAACTTTGTATACAAAATTTTTTTAAGACATGGAAACCCATTTGTATCTTTTGAACTTCCGCAGACCATCTCATTATCCACAGAATAGAGAATTATAGTAAAGAGTACATAATTGCCATCCCTTGAAAGAAGATATTATTCTTTTGTAACTCCATAATTTTGGGAGATACCTCTACCCATTCAATATACAAACTTTTATATAATTTAGGTAAAATATTCAGTGAAGACCCTCACTGAATAATTTACTTGAATATTTTACTTGGTAAAAATATTTTACCTGAATTATATAAAAGTTTATATACATAATGGATAGAGGTATCCCCCAAAATTAGAGTTACAGAAGAATAATATCTTGGGATGGTAGTTATGTACTTTTTTATAGAATTCTCAATTCCTTGGATAATGAGATGGTCTGTGAAAGTTCAAGATGATACAAATGGGTTTACATGCCTTAACAGATTTTGTTATACAAAGTTCTGGAACAAATTGCTCCAGAAAAACAAAGGACATACTCATGGCCAGGAAATCATAAAGACAATTAAAAGTACTATTGATAAATCCAAAAGTAAGATTGTATCAACAACAGGAACAAGTGATACCAGTCCATTTAAGCAAATAGCAAGGAAATTTCAGATGAAGAAAGGAGTCACCTCCAGATCAGAAATACTAGCTTCGTATATGGAAGAGGTCAAGAAAGATTTAATGAAAAATCTAGACATAAAAATACCAGATGATATTTCTCTGGTATCAGCAGGTAATACCACAAAAGAAGAAACGTGTATAGCAGGGGAATCCCAAAGTGTCGGTGACACTTAAGAAATAGATATTGAAGCATATCTACAACACTTCAAGACAATTATGGAAGAATCTTCCAGCAATACCAAAAATGACAAAGGCAAAGAAAATGAATAAGAAAGAAGGCCACGTATTGTGAATTATTGGGATAATACTAACAAACAACTTTTATAAAGATAGATTCTTTAATAAAGAAAGAGAGGCCCACTTTATCATGTCGGGTAAATTATTTAAGTTGTAATTATTAAAGTAGTATAGGCCCACCTTACCAAAAACTGTCGGGCACTAACCATTGTATTCAGAGGTGATCCATTATAAGATCCAATCTTATTTAAAGTAGGCAAGCTTTTTTCCAAAATTTTCTTTAGAAACTCTTAGTAAAGAACACCCCTCCTGTAAACAAGTTCTCTTTGTAAAGTTTTTATATATAATATCAGAAAAGGTCGACTATTGGCCACAACCTTGGTGTATCCAGGTATTTTAATTTTGAATTAAGTTTATAATAATATTATTGATTTAGCCTAAATGATATGCTAAATATTGTTGTGTTGAACATAGCACACTAGGTTACTGCTAACATGATTTGCTATCGTTAGAAGGAATTAAAAGGTAGGGTTAGAATGGTCTAGGCAGAAAGGCTCATGCTTTGCCGGAAGTCCTGTTAGTGCCTGTCGAAGCCATGAGAAGCGTGTTAGGGCCAGTTTGGACTCGTAATGAGTCGATCTTGACAGGACCATAGACCTGAAATATTCCTGTAGTTTCATTGTAGCGATCCTAGTTCCCGAAATGGTATCAGAGCTATGTGAATGAATAACAATAGGTGCTAAGTTAAAAGCAGTTTTATACTTATCTGATTCAGATATCTGGATCAGCCAATAGCCTGATTTTAAATCAAACTTTGAAAATATAATAGCATCATAAAATCTATCCAATAAATCCTTTTTATTAGGAATTGGATACTTAATCCATTTCAAGACTTTATTTAAGGGCTTATAATTAATAACCAATCTTGGAATACCACGTTACTGTTCAACATGTTTATTAACATAGAAGGCTATGCAATACAATTGGGACTTGGATGGTCTTATAAGACCTTTATGCATCAAAGAATCAATTTCCTTTTTGCATAGTTCTAAATATTCTGAGTTCATTTGGCAAGGCCTGACCTTTGTTGAAATATTATTTTCCGAAAAGTCTTCTTCATAAGGGAGACTGACTATATGTTTTTTCCTTTCCCAAAACATATTTGGATGATCTCCACATATGTGTAAAGAGAACTGATCTTTTAGAAAATCAATTTTTTCTATCAGTTTAGGATTTTGTAAATCTTCTTCGATAGTCAAGATATGAATTTCATGTTTGAGAAAATTGACTTGTCTATTTTTTAAAATAATGTTATCTCTTATTTCATTTATAAATCTTTTTAAAGGATGAGTTGTAAACTCAAAACTGATTGATTTATTATCAAAAGTTCCTGAAAATCCGGTAGAATCCCACCTTGTAATTGGGAAAATATGTAGGAAGAATGGGACTCCTAAAATGATATCATTTATTTTTTGATAAGGTAAAAATGATATCATTTGAAATATCTTTAACCAAAACAAATGTTTCTGGAATACAATCCTTGTTTTGACAAATATAAGCTTTTGGCAATTTATAACTAATACCCATTTTTTGCCCACTGGCATTTCTTAAACTATGAGTAGTTTTATGAAAATACTTTGAAGGTATTAATCCTTCTTTTATACAATATAAAAATCCGCTCCACTATCAACTAAAGCAGTAAATTCTTTTTTGAAATTATAATCTATTAAATGAGTAACTTTTATAAAAAAAAAAACTTTTGCGAAGTTATTAACTCTAGCTTTTGTATAAACTCATCATCTGCAGAATCTATTGTTAGTAGGAAAACTTCTTTTGTACTTGTATTAGAAGTACTTGTTTCTATTATATCAGGACTAAGATCCTGTTTTTCTATATCAGGACTAAGATCATGTTTTTCTAAGTTCGAAATTCTTCTGTCTAAAACTACATTTGTAGCTTTGAGCTTAGCAATCTCTTTCTTGAGATTATGAATTTCTTCCTCCATATCTTGGATTGTGGTTGGTCTATCGATAGCCTGGGTTTTTGCTTTCAGAATTCTTTTAACTTCAGACATTGTATAAGGACCCTTTTGAGAAGGAATTTCTTCTCTTTCTATAGCAGAATTTGTAGAAGACTTATCCATTCTATCAATAATCTGAGACCTTATCTCTGGGTCTTTAATAGATTTTAGCAATTCTTATCAAGCTATCATTTGTCATGACATTGATATCTAAGTCCTTAAACTGAGTAAATATTATAAAACTCATCATCAATGTTGTTATCACAAGACTGACCTTGTTTACAGGGTTCACATTCATCATCTGAGGATATATAATTATCCTTATGTAATGAGATCAAGTCGACGAACAATTTGCTATAGATATCCCTAAGAAGCCTAAAGAGTCTCATAGAGATAGGAATAAAAGGGAATTTTATGAGAAAAAGATGGAAAAAAGAAAGAAGATAAAGAATGCTTTTAGAGCAAGAAATTTTTTTATTAGATCTACCAAGCCTAATGCATGTTACAAATGTGGTAGAATAGGCCATTATGCTAAGGATTACAAAATCAAAAATAAGATAAAAAGCCTAGATATTGATGATAAGATAAAAGACTCTTTATGTAAGATTCTTATAAACTCTTCTCCGGAAAATTCTGGTCGAGAGCAGAGTGATAGAGAGGATTCTTCAACAGATGATATCTCCATCTTCATATGGTGTTTTTTCCTTTTAAAATAGAAGGGATAAGATAACGTCTTTACAATTACACAACCTCCTACAACAGCTAATAAACAGCCCCGTCTCATAGCTTCTCATGTCATTCAGATAGTTCAGCCAGAGGTGGATCTGGATTTGAACTTTATGGATCCAGTTTGAATTTCTAGCATCAGCTATTTGACTTACTGGGTTCGAAATCTATTATTGTACTTGTTTAGTGAAATTTTTAACACATATATACAGAGTTCGGATGAATTCGTAACTCTAATACTACATCCCCCTGAGTTCAGCCAAGCTGAGAAAAGCTTACTTGGGGTTTTATTTCCAAGTCGGTTCAAAGCAACCTAAGTCTAAGCAACAGCAATGAAACTAAAAGTAAGTTGCGACGTGACAATTACAATGATTCATTAAATTTCAATATTTAAGCATCATTACCTCACAGTAACAAATGAAGTAAATTAACTAAAATCAACTGACATCTTACCGCTTCCTGTGCTTTTTCGTCTTGAAATGCTCGTCCCTCACCGCAACATTCGCGAAATATCGACTACACAAATCAGACCACCCAAAACAACAAAATAAGCAAAATTCAATAAATAAACAGAACACAACACACTATTATAGATCAAATTTAATAAAATAAACAATTAATTGAGCTTCAAAAAGAAGAATAAGTTACTCGCAGTGAAGACAGTAGTATTGACCCATTCCGGGAAGATCTTCGTCGACGGGAAACTCTTTCCGTTGCTCAGCTGGCTTTTTAAGTTCGTCGTAAACGGCATCGTCTCCTTTTACGAGGAATTTTGAACGGCGAAAGGTTTTGTGAGAGTATCTTCGCTTCTTCACGCTCCTGTGTGGACACTTCCCTCCCATTTTTCACTCTGCAAATTTAGGCGGTTGATTGTGAAGGAAATTTGAAACCCTAGATTGTGAGCTGATATATGTTTCTCCCTCCAAACGACATCGTATGATGCGTGATCCCACTACTCGCTAGGATCTTGCCAAGATTTAGCGGGTAAAATTTCAAATTAGGGGTAAAAACGTTGTTAAGTGAAAATGGTATTTGAAATTTAGAGTTGTGTTTGGACATGAATATAATTTTGGGTTATTTTTTAAATTTTGTGAGTGATTTAAGTGAAAATTTGATAAAACAGCTTTTTAGAGTTTTTTAAATTTTTGAAAATTTCTAAAATATATTTTCAAGTGAAAATTGAAAAATTTATGAACAAACACTGATTTCGAAAAAAAATAAAAAACAAATTTGTAAAAAAGGAAAAATTACTTATGTCCAAACAGGCTCTTATATACTCTACCTATTTACCTCAAGTTTTTTACTTAAATTGTTCATTATCTATGGGACTAGGTTCATTTTTGTCCTTCAAATATAACCCAGAGCATCTTTAATCTCTTAACTTTGCTAAGAATATCTTTAATCCCTTAACTTTGCTAAAGTGTAGCACATTTGGTCTCACTAACAGAGCCTAAGTTAAAAACTAACAGAATGAGCAATTTTTGCCTTCTTTCTTAACTGAAGAGGCATTATTTTGGCTTTTTCACTGATGCACATTTTCCTTCCTCCTGTTTTCATTTTCGAAGGACAAGGTGAAACTAAAAACTTCATATGTTTTATCAATTCCACTTGACACATCAAAAGCAAATAAAACCAAAATAAAGAGTCATTAAACTCATCTCCTTCATAGAGAAAATGTTAAACTTCTGAGAAGTATGCAATATTAGCCATTTACAGTAGCAAAAGCAAAATAAGAGTTACTAAAATCAACTCTTTTACATCAACCTTTTAGCGACAAAAAATAATCTGCTAGGCGTATCAACCTATACATATAGTCTTTGACAGCATCCCAACTATTTTACACCAATTTTCAGCAATAAAATGGTTCTTCTATAGTAGCAAAAAACATCCTCTTATAGCAGCAACAACCAATCTTTTTCAACAGAAATTTATATACTAAAAAATATATCTCCGGTCACTCTACTTTCTTGAGTCGTGTGCATATGATCCTGGTTAGTTGGTCCTCTTCTTACTTATAATTAAGAAAATATTACAAGTCACTATATTAATAATATAATCAAATAGAGTGATATGTGTACTAAACTCATACCTGAAGCTTTATAGGAGCAAAAGATGCAGTAGAATATGAGGATTCTTGTCGCAATGTCTCATCATCATGAGAATCTGGATACACATAATTTAACTAGCAAGTTCTTTTACTATGGCCTGGATTGTGGCATAAGCTACAGTCCATTTGTTTTTGCTTCCTTTTCATTTTTTATCTACTTGCTCCAACTTCATCACGCCCTTTTCTCCTAAGCTTCTGTTTTCTTTCTTTGGTACTTTGTGTTTCCAATCGTGGAGGCAAAGGAGGTATGTTACTCGACATAGGCCACACCTCTTGACCATTCATAGGTAGAATAGAAAATGCATAGATCCTTCTATAAGTTTCTACCTTATAACAATCATCCACATATGAATTAATGTCATCATGTTTAGTCCAAATAACGGCAATGGCATGTTTGCAAGGGATTCATGTTAGATTCCATTCCCTACAACTGCATTTTCTATTTAACAAGTCCACAGCCCAATTGTTCATTATGCTTGCTCCTATTATCTCATAATTCCACTCATTTGACTTCCTAGGAATAAATTCAGCTGCACTACCTTGATTTTTGTGCAATACATCCTTAATCGTAGGGCAAATATCACCATCATTCCACTTGGCACCTTTATTGAGCCAAGCGGCAGCTTCTGAATATAGATCACAAATGTCAACCATGCAATCATCGAACCACTTTACCATTGTAGCCTTTGCAGCCTTTCAAAGGGCATTCTTGAGAGAGATACCGATCCGGCCCTCTTAAAGTTGTTATGGAGGTGTCTCACACAAAATCGATAACAAACATATGACAATACCTCATCGAACGCTTCAATCAAACTTTTTTGCTTGTCTGACATGAAGGTCCAAGTTCCATCATCATCAATGTCTAACTCACGCTTCAAATAATTTAAAAATCATTCCCATTATTCCTTTCTTTCCTTATCTACAACTGCATATGCTATCGGAAAGATATTATTATTCGGATCAAGCCCAACAACAGTTAACAATTGAGACCCATACATTGGACCCTTAAGCCAACAACCATCCACCCCAATTATTTTTCAACAACCACTCTTAAACCCCTCTTTACAACCACTAAAACAAATGTAGATTCTCTGGAACCTCTTAGGCTTGTCGGGCACCTCATTTTCAACTAACTTCATATAGACAAAGGTATTTGAATTTGTCCTCCCAATTTCATTGCAATAGTTCCATAATACCTTGTATTGAGCATTAAGATCTCCATCAATCAGTGCAAGTGCTTTTTTCTTAGCCCTTCTACATTGTGATAATGTCACTTGAACTCTCAACTATACACTAACGTGATCTCTGAATGCACCGATTGCCCAAGACCTATTAGAGCTTATGGCCTTAAGGTATCTTCGTGCAATATAAGAAGATGTTATTGATTTGTTGCGATGATTACAAATCTTACAATCATGAGTGGGATTGTATGTTCTGATCTGAAAGGCCCTATCTCGATGCATTCTTGAAGCTAGAATCTCCCAGTTGCAATCTGGATGACCACAAGTTGCTCTCACTCTCGAGTTATCATTCTTGCACCACTTAATATATTTTTCTTCATTAACTTCATGAGTTATTATAGCATATTTGAGCTCATGCTTGTTCCCAGAAGTTAGTTCTAATGCCAACACTGGTTTATCCTCGTCCGTCTTATGATTGAACTTAGGAAAGTGAAACTCTCACTATCATAATCACATTCTAAACTCTTTGTATCATATGAGTCAACACAATCTGAATCACCTTCTTCAACATCCATCTTTTTCTTAACTTATTCACTAACTTCGTATCTATGATTCTCATATTCATTATCATCCGAAAAATCATTTTCTGAATCTTCGAATTCATCGTCAGTTGAAGAATGCTCATTGTTTACTTCTTTCTCTTGTTCTACTCCACCAACTTCATTAGTATGTATAGTTCTTCCAATATATGAATCAAGATGTTCAAAGTATGCCTCAACCACCTTATCATCTGAGATATTTTTGGATACCACAGTGGCTTCTACATCAGTAGAAATAAGTCGCATTCTATTACCATATCTCCCGCACTTATGCCAGAAAGTAACAGAATCTCTCTCAAAACCACATAATTATGCCATGGAATTGAAATGTGACAGCTTTAACTCTGTATCATTAACATAGTCAATAAAATCTACACACCTGCCAAGATAATATCTACTAGGCTGATGCTTCATGGTACCACCATGTGTCACTTTTATATCGAAGAAAAAGCCTCATATGTAGGGTCTGTAAAAAAAAATTAAACCTATGTTAGACCTTTTTCTAGTCAAAGATAACCTGAAAAGGTATTTCAACAAAACTAATGGCCTACCAGGATTAGTATTTTATAGTAATCTTAAAGGAAGAAAAAGACATGTTAATGTAGGTGGACCTAACTCAGATTCCCATGTCAGAGACAAACTTATTTATTCCTTATTGCTTGTCTTTATTCCAATTTTTTATTCAAAAGGCTTGTATTATATCATGCATTTCCTGAAAAATAGAGGAGATTTAATTTTTAATAAACTTATTATAATATAACGAAGCTATCATATGTGGCATAGAAATAAAAAACACTAAAGAATGAGAAATGAAATCAACATATAGTAAAAAAAAAAATCACATTTTTTTCAGTTTGATAAAAACCCAAATAGTATTTCTTGCTAAAATCTTACCATAATTGGGTATTTTACTACCATGGCATCTAATAATCATTGGTGGAGATAAAGAAATAAGTTTCTTCACTTAAGTTCTCTTCTTGTTCCAGTCAATCAAAACTTTTTCGGAGGGGCTAGGGTTTTTGGTGAAGTATTTCTTCCCAAATTGACTTGGGGAAAAGATTGCAAATGAAGGTAGTCTTTGACCGATAGGTTTAGTATTTAAAAAGTCACGTGACTGTCAAATGGGTCCCCTTATGTTAGTTTTAGCTTAGCTTTAGTGACACCAAATGTGCTCCACTTTAGCAAAGTTAAGGAATTAAAGATGCTCTGGTTATATTTGAAGGACAAAAATAAACTCATTCTCATAGATAAGGGATAATTTAAGTCAAAAACTCTATTTACCAATATATTTTAGATTTTAGATTTCGTTAGAATTTTGGGACTAGGTGGTTTCCGTAAAAATAATAATAATAATAATAATAATAATAATAATAATAATATTAATAGTAACAAGAATTATACAAAGATAATTATGCTTCTGTTTTAAAAAAGTTGAGATCGATGTATAGATTCTTACTTCTCCGATTAATCTCATATATATAGTAATTTAT